TTTTAAACTAAAGTGTGGTTTTGTTTTCTCCATGAATTTTGAGTAGTTTTCTTTATCTTTCTCCTTAAAATGATAAGTAATTAAAGTGTTGGATGGAAGTTGTGGAGAGTATTAATCTTTAATGTTAAAAGAAGTTGTGATGATTTAATTCCATGTACTTCATTTGCTTTTTGATCTGGTCCATCTAGATGTTAAAATTTGTTGTGAGAACATGTAAGAACCGAGATGATATTGTCTTAGTCAACAATTCGAAAAAATCACATGAGGTTGTATGAATGAAAATTTTCATGTGATTTTTCATCACAAGTATACGTAACGTTATCAAGTAATATAGGACTTTTTGATTAAGCCTTAAATATCAAACCCATAAGAATAGCTACAATATGCAACATCAAAAAAGGAGAAATTAGATAACAAATTCTACTTAACAAACCATTCGTACTCAAACTCTAGATGTTATAATATGAATGAAAGTTCAATTTTTTTTTTATAATTTTTGATAATTGAAAATTAAAAGTAAATAATAAACAACATACTAATTTAACTAGATACTTGCAAGGTTAAGGCAATATAAATAAAATATATTTTTTCTTATCATGAATTAGTAATAAGTATAGGAATTCTATTGTGGAAGTATTCTAATTGTGTTCTACCACTACCAAATAGGAACAATAATATTCTTTACCCTTACTAGAGATGCTATAAAGAACATTAACTAATTTAAATTTTGAATAGTCTTGAAAACGGGTTAGGTAAGGAAGATACTAGCTCTCACTCTAGAGTTCCCTATTCTCCCTCCATCACGGGGCTAACATCACGTATTAAAACCTAAAATTATAAATCAAATTGGGGGCTTTAACCTGTCACTTTAAAGTCCTCTATCTCTCTAAAGTCCTCTAATTCTATTACACTCTAAAGCCCTTCAAAGTTTATTTCCCTATTTATTTGCACTCAATCATATGAATTATCATTCATGAAATTTTCATGTGATTCTTACTATTTGTTGACTAAGACAATATCATCTCAGATCATACATGTTCTCACAACACGTATTAACGCCTTAATTGACCAAATCAAAAATTAAATGAAGTACAAGGTTTAAAATCATCACAACTTCTTCCAACATTAAAGACTAATACTTCACACAACTTCCATCCAATACTTAGTTACTTATCATTTTAAGGAAAAACATAAAGAAACTACTCAAATTTCATGCAGAAAATACAACCACACTTAAGTTTGAAAGTAGAAATCATTCAAACAAACAAGAAGTCTAAATTAAAACTAAATGTAACCACAAAGATAAAAACTTATTTCAGTTTCTCTCCACCAAAGTCTTGAAGTTCCTTTGAATCTCTTCCTTCACTTAAAATACAAACTACAACTTAAAATAAAAATAAAAGTGGCGGTGGTGGTATGTGGCGACTGAATTGGTGATCGGTCTCTCGATGGATTCACTGGCGCGTAAGTGATACACCTAAAATATATAGTATTTTTATAAGGCGGCGGTGGTGGTATGTGGCGACTGAGTTGGTGATCGGTCTCTCGATGGATTCACTGGCGCATAAGTGATACACCTAAAATATATAGTATTTTTATACACACTTTTATACCTATTATTAAGATATTGCGCTTTAATGAAAGGTATTTGCGTGTTTTTTTCTTTCAGGTACAATCAAATGAATGCGAAATGCTAAAAGAAGTGAAAAGGGTCAAATTTGGAACAAAAATGATGAAGGTGCAAAAACTTTCAGGTGCAATCAAATGAATGCGAAATGCTAAAAAGAGTGAAAAGGGTCAAATTTGGAACAAAAATGATGAAGGTGCAAAAATGAATTGGGGCGCTATGCGCCAGAGAGCCGCTCCTAAGCACTAGGTATCCCGCACTTAAGCGTAGAAGTAGTTATTTGATGATTCCTTGAATTTAGACAAATTTTAAAGAGGTATTTGGAGAAACCCTTAGTAAAACGTGAGAAATAATCCATGGACACAAAAATTCAAAAGAGGTGTTTGGAGAAACCCTTGGTAAAACGTGAGAAATAATCCATGGACTCAAAAATTCATTCAATTAGCTTTTGAAAGGAGGGACTAAAGTACCTTTTAAATTTTTATTAAAGAAAACTTGGATCATTGAGACACATTTTGAAGAGACACTAAAGCACCTTTTAAATTTTTATTAAAGAAAACTTGGATCATCAAAGGAAGAGCCCAGTTATTAGACAGTCATAGCCATCATTTATCCAAGTTACCGCCGCCGCCGCCGACCACTTTTCTTTTTATTTTGAGTGTTAGTTTGTATTGTGAGTGGAAAAAGATAATTCAAAAAGATAATTCAAAGGAACTTCAAGACATTTGGTGGAGACGATTTGAGATAAGTGTTTATCTTTATGACTACACTTGGCTTTAATTTAGATTTTTTGTTTATGTACATGATTTCTACTTTTTAACTCATGTGTTGTTGTGTTTTTTCCATGAATTTTAAATAATTTTCTTTATCTGTTTCTTTAAAATTATAAGTGATTAAGTATTTAAAGAAAGTTGTGTGAAATATTAGACTTCAATGTTGGAAGAAGTTGTGATGATTTGAAACCTTACACTTCATTTACTTCTTGATTTGACTAATTAAGATGTTAATACTTGTTGTGAGAAAATGTAAGATCCGAGATGAAATTGTCTCAGTCAACAAATTGTCAGAATCACATATTGATTTCATGAATGAGAATGTAGTTCATGAGGTTGAGTGCAAATAAATAGGGAAATAAATTTTTCAAGGGTGTACAATTAGAGTACTTTAGAGTGACAGACTAAAACTCCCAATTTGATTTATAGTTTTAGGTGTTAGATATATAAATACATATGAATAGAGCGGTATATGTGTAAATCTTCTAAATATTTGTATAATTCTGCAAATTTGTTTCCTAGCCTATTAATGCTTTCTAGATTGGGGCATTTTGGAAAGCAAGGCGGCATCGCTCTGCTCCATCGTCCATGTCCTCTTTCCCCGTTTTTCATTTAACGAAGCTACTGGCTTGCTTTGCCACTCAAACCCTAAATTGTCCAGCGTAGGTGATCGCCTCCCGCTGCAATCACCATGCCTTTATTCCTTTCGGAGGAAGAGTTTTGTCTCATATCTAACGACGCCTCAGCTGTGGCGGAAAGGGCGGACGTCTTCATTTGCGATCTCCGTCAGCAGCTCGACGTCGTCCGGGCAGAGGCTGATGCGAAATCGATTGCCGAAGAGCAAAACTGCGCTCTCCTCGAGCAGAAATATGCTTCGCTGTACTCAGAGTTCTCGAGGCTGCAGTACGAGAACGCTCAGCTGTCTGCATCCACCGAAAAGAGTCTATCAGAGCTCGCGGATGTGCAGGCTGAGAAACATCAGCTTCATATTAAGGCGGTGAGTGCTCTATGACTTCCAAAACACCCCCCCCCACCTGATTGTTGATTTCACTGATTTATTCTTGTGGCACTCGGCCCTAATTTGTAGATTGGTAAGGATGCTGAATTAGAGAAACTCTCTTTGGAGGCAGCAGAGCTCCGTATATCAAAGCGGCAGCTTCTGGATTTGGTAGAGCAGAAGGATGCGGAGATTAGAGAGAGAAATAGTACCATTCAAAGCTACGTTGATAAGATTGTGAGTTATCTTTTCCTTTGTACTACTAATGTGAAGTTTACATGATTCTCCGAATAAACTCACTTTCTCATGCACTGCAAGGCACTTCCGCACAAAAATGCTTGATTTTTATAGCACAGCTATAGATTAATTAGACCGATAGCTCACTTTGTCTTTATTAATTTAAAAAGCAAAATATGTAGATAACGCATTTCAAGAAGTTACTGATAACGCCATGCTGTATCTTATTAGAGATGTACTCAGCTCTCCTTTTTATGTTTAAGTAATTCATTTCGATTTTAGGTTGTTCGTATAGGTTAATTTATTTTGGGGTAATTATTTGTTCAGGAATTTTATTTAGGGATTGTATAGAATACTTTAATACTACTCAAATCATTTTAATCCAACTGTCCACACTTTTGGAAAATACATTAGTTTGTCAGTTTGCAGTCATGTATGCTATTTCCATTGTTACATGGAATTTATAGCAATGACACAATGGCATGAATAATCACTCTAGGAATTTATGAAAGTACATTCATTTGAACTTTTGGATGTCAGTTTTTTTTGTGCTTGAAATTATGATAACTATGTAGTCTAACATGTACTTGATTGAAAGCAAAGTTTAGGTACAAGGTGAATAGTAGCATCTTGGTTTGAGATTTTTAACTAAATCGTGTTAGACTTGCCTCAATTGTTTTCCCAAAATTTACTTTTCTTTTTTTGTTAGAAGTGTCACCAAGATGCATTGGTGTCAGGATGAGTAGTAGTGTTTTGATTTGAGATCTTAGACTCTTAAACTGTTTTAGAGTTAACTAAGTTGCTTCCCAAAGTTAACTTTTCTTCCTCTGTTAGAAGTCTTACTGAGATTTCCACAATCAGGTGAATAACTCTTCCAAGCTCGGATTAGATTAATTTGATAGAATGGAAAGATTTCTATAATATATTTTGTACAAATTATATGTTTCATCACAACTTTGTGGGAGGTCTTTTTGTGTGAGGATGCTAGATAGATGCATCTTAGTTGGTAAAGTTGCCAAATTTGCAAAAAGACGGTATTTTCTCATGGCCAAAAATAAAATATTTTGTCGCACTGGATGATTTTAAGAAAATGTTTACTATGTAGATTATAGCTTTTGATAAAACTAGTTTCTATGCAGCTTTATTACTGTTGATACAGATCTTTTCGATCTTTAAAAGGGCATCTTTCTATTTTCTACTTTGCAGCATCCATGTAATAAATTTTTTTTTTGAAGCCCTGCAATCTTGAAAAATAGATATTTGTGTATTTTGTTTCTACTAAGATCATGGCTAGCCTACCATACTGATGTAACCGGCTGGATGTTTCCTATTATATCCACATTGTCAAGAATTAGTATTATATAATAAATCCTTTTGCGACAGCTATAAGCTAAAATTACTTGACCTGTAGGCATGAGAGTCGATAGTTAAAATTGTCTAATTTTTTTTTTCATTGGTGGCATATCTAACAGCCTTAAAGAAATTTTGATATACCTCTTGAAGAAGTATTTGTTGTATCACCGAGTAGTGTTCTTATTTGTATTTGCAACTAAGTGGAATCGTCTTTGGTATATAGACTGGTTATAAAATTATATTTACATGCAAAGGTTGAAAAACAAATTCAATGCAAGGAATGACACTTTGAGTACATGTTAAGAACTAGGAGTGTCATTACATCAAAACTGATGTTTGACGTTGAATAAATATTTCAATTCCTTGAGCATCATTACCTTGAAGCCTTGAACTACTGTGATTTTGGGCAGTTTTCACTCCGGTTACCGTTTTTCCCCCAACTTCGATGGAAACATATTCCTAAATAACTTGTTGCTTCATGTCATATAGTTACGCTGATTTTAGTCTTTTGAAATTTAATGCTTTCAATTTAGATTGTTGTATGGTTAAGTCAAGTCCTTATGTTGGTTGAAAGGATTTAAATTTTAAAGCATCTACCTATCATTTTTTCCATCAAGATTCTAAGAGCATTTGATGTATTTTTATGACTTTGAAATCCTTTTGAGTCTTTTGCAAGGATCTATTCTTATTTGAACATGTTGGCCCTTTCTATTTTCATCTTTGTAACTAGATTGTGATTAGGTTAACTTGTGATTTCATCCTTCTCAAGTATTTATGCACTTGATCTACATGAAAATAGGTAGATTATGAATGACTAAAATGTAGTAATTTATGGATTTCACCTTTCAGCACTCACCCTCAACTCATTGTCTCATTCGAGGATGGATGCAAAAATAATGGGGGTTGGGAGCCTCTTATTCATAGAGTTGAGGTCTTATTTTTTAGATAAAATTTTCATTTAGCTGTTTTTTCACTTTTTCTTTGCTTTTTTGTTATCATTTGTCTTTTTATATTCTAACAGTCCATAGAACCAGGACCACATATAGTATTCTAATTAATCCACCTCAATGCATTAATCTAAACTATCCTTTTTGGTTGTATTGATGAAGCTAGGTTTTAGGGTTATATCCATATATTTTCCTCCTCTCCTCACCTTAAATTTTCTACTTTCTCTCTTTGATTTCTCCCACTTGATACTTCCATTTATTAGGCACCTACTTAGCAAATTAATTTATTGCAAATATGTAAATAAGCGAAATATATTTTTTTCTTTTGAACAAAGATAACATGAATATTATTCAAAATAATTTTTCATATAAGATGTAAAGTTGAACAAGTTTTAATCAAACAAAGTTGAACTAATTTACATCAAAATTTGGCATTATATTTATATTCTTTAATTGCATTGGCTCTTTGCTCATTGCCTTGGTGATAAGCGTTGCTTCTTAGTCATACTTTTTTATCAACTATTCTCTCTTAATATATTGTGTTGAAAAGTAGAAATCATGAACACTTTTGAGTGCCAACGAGACTGATCTCTCTTATGGTACTATTTTTCATTTTCATCTTACCACCATATTCTTGTCATGCTTCTTTTTACTTATTTTCAAGTGTCTACCGCCTCAAATGTTACTTGCAACAATTGATTTGATTTTATATATTCTCTATTTTAAATCATATTTTCTTGCTTCTTAACACCTCATTTTTATCCTTTTTCTCATTTGCTTTTTGCTAGACATCATTTTGGTGACCAAATAATATGATTAAGGGGAGCATTTTTTAAATGTAATTGAATTCTCTTGTTTAGTGGTTTCTCTATCTCCGTTGAAAGTAGAACAATGAATTGTCTGCTACCGCGCTTTTTCGTTTTACAAATACAAAATTGTTCTGTATAGAAGATAATAACTTGATCACACACACACACACACACACACACACACACACATATATATCAGTGTGTGTGCGCGATTTTCCTTTTTTTACAAGTATAAAATTGTCTTATACAGAAGATAACAATCTGATCACACACACACACACACACACACACACACACACACAGTGCTAGGCCCCATGATGAGAGCCCGCTTCATGTGCCTAAATATTCAAGGACTCAGCGTCGCTGGGGATCGAACTCGTAACCCGATGGGACTTACAGTGAACCCGACCAACCAACATGCCACGATTTGCGTCACACACACACACATACACACACAGATATATATATATAGATAGATAGCTGATGTATGGGGCATTTATGTACATAATTATGGATTTACACATCTCACGCCAAAACATTCATTCTTACATGCATAGCGTCCAATTCTTCGGTATCTTATAAAAAATAATACTAGTTTTCATACATAGTTAAAGTGCTATGCATGTAAATATAAAAGTTTAGGTGTGACATACGTAAATCCATAAGAATTGTGTGCATAAGTATTTCCATAATAATTCAACATGTTTTATTTAATATACCTATTTATTTATATCATAATTTTCATTTGACATAAGTACGAACTATTCTGATCTAGTTTTATTTGATGCAAGGTTATTTCAATTTAACTGAGTTTGAGTTGAACTAGAATCAAAATTTTGTTTCTGCGTTGGTCAGGACTGGATCAAAGTTGGCTCGATATCAACCCTACTTGATATTTATTAGCCCAATTTTCTCAGCAAAAAAAATTAGTGATAACATTTTTTGATTAGTTGGATTTTAAATAACATGATGGGGGTAGATGTTAGTTAGTTGATGCTTGATGTGAAAGAGTTCTCCAACTTATTGCATGTGCCTATAATATCAATGGTAATACAAGACATGGTTTACTTGTAGTCCAATTCCCTCCTTTGAAGTAGTAGTGTGTCTTTTTGATGTACTTCCTCTCATTTTAGCTTTATTTCTAAATATAAATTCGAATAAATTTTGAGCTTATTTCTTATTATTATTTTTTTCAATAATGACATTTATTGCTCTTCTGATGCTAAATCTTTAGTTTTCTCTTCTATTCAATTACAATATTGGATTTTTGTCATATAGAAAAATACTTGTTTTTTTTCGTCAAGTCTAATGCCTTTTATGCTAGCAACAATATCAACAACTAAGATAACTTAAATTCTGTGTTGTATCTTATGAAATTCTGATGCATATTATTTAAAAAATAATTTTTAATTCGGTTAAATTTTTAAATCACTTGCTTTCCTAATACACTTTTGTTTGAGTAGATCTAAAATTGAATATATGGAATGTAATTTTAGTAATAGTAGATCTTGTGGCGGGATTGTATCAATGGGTAATCAAGTTGTTAAAAAGGATTGAACATTTTAGATATCTCGAGTCTATTGTTCAAAGTGATGGTGATATAGGTGAAGATGTTATCAGTAGAATTCAAGTTGGATGGTTAAAGTGGAGGAATTCATCGGGCCTATTGTGTGATAGAAAAGTATATCGCTCAGACTTATAGGAAAGTGTTGTTGATATGAGAATACTTAGGTGGATGAGTGGCTTTGTACTTTGAGAAAATGCGAATGTAATAGGTCCGTGAAAGGGTAGTTGTAGTTCCATTGATAGACAATATTAGAGTGATTCGTCTTAGATGGTTTGGTCTGGTGATCCAGTTAGGATTGTAGATGTTTTTGATTTAACTTATGTTAAAAATGGTAGAGGTAGACCTGAAAAAATCAGGGCATGTTATATAAAAAATGATCTTAATTTATTATAATTAAATGAAAATGACACTCGACACTCAATAGGACACAATGAAGAAAACAAATTCATGTAGCCGACCCTACATAGTAGGATAAAGACTTGTTGTTGTTTTAGATGCTTTCCTAATAATTTTTTTTTTGTATACTTTTTTTACATTCACTCGCCATCTTGCTTCAAATTCTAGCACTAGATTTGCTTTTATTCTTTGTGATTGATAGGATATATTAAGTTGATCATGTCAAAATTGGTTGATTATAATCTTTTGGTTATGAATTCCATCGCTGTAAATAATGTGGGGACAACTTCAAATGAAAAAAATGAAATTTTAGTGCTTAATGTTGCACCGATAATATTTTGTTTCAATCGGGCTTGATGCTTGAGAAGTGTGGATTTGGCGTAGGTAATGGTTACACAATATAACGCTCTTTGTTGATGCACCATTACTTGTAAAAAGGGGAGATGGATGGTTTGGATACCTATAACTATTTTATTTTTGTATTAGGCTTATATACAAATGGGTTTGTGAGTCAATTTCACTTATCATTCAAAATCGTGTTTTTAGATTTTGGTCCAGAAATAATATGTTACTAAAATTTAAATACCATTTGAATAAATTATCAACCACAAAATTCTATTAAATTCATCACTTTAGTCATGTAGTCATGACAAAGGAAATTGAACCTCTGTGTGCGTCATGTGTGTGCGTCTAATCCACACACATTTGTATACCCTTGTATTAAATGGTACATTAATATTTTAAGGACATTCCAGTCTTATATTTGATTGGAAGTAAATAGATTAATCTCATCCTTTACTATCAAGACCTCTTGAAAATGAGTCATGTATCATGATATATTGGTATGATATATGGAGTGCATGAGATAGGTAAAGTATTATGCCAATTGATCGATGCTGTAAGTATGTTATTGATATTGGTTATTGCAACTTTACTCTTGTGAATGCACATCACAAGCAATTCTAGTTGCAAATTTTATTTGTTTGGAGATAGTAATGAATAAGGGTTTAGCTAGCTTGTTGCTAGAGTGCTTTCTTTAGCTGTTGTAGTCTTTTTTATTTGTTAAAAAATTTTAAGCTACTTGGATTTCTAACAGCAGGTACACACATAAGAGGGGATAGTTTAAATAGATAAAACCCTAACCCCAGCCCTCATCATCTGAGGAGATGTCCTCCCAAATTTTGGTTCTAAATATACTATGTTGAGTGTAGACGTATTAAGTTTTATTGGTTGATGATCCCAATTGTTTGGCCCTCCTAAGCTAACTTGCCAATTAACATTTCATCCGACACCAAACAGGAACAAATAAAGAATGAGAATTCATAAAGTGGATCTCAATTACATTGGCTGAGGCTAATGACGACGACTACTATCAATATAGTGCATTTAAAATTTTGTTTTTTGGTTTCATTCTTAGCTACTCGAGTCAATGATGGTTGATTCTTGATCCTCTCCTTTATGTAAGCTATTTGTCCATGTGCAAAAAGAGCTCTTCAATTTATTAATTTTTAAGATAAATCATGACCGCACAGCCTCATATTTTGATGGATATGCTCATTATTTATGTCATCATACAAAGAGCCAATACTTAAATTAGTATTATTCAAAACTATACTTATTTCTGTTGAATAATGTATTTTAGATTGAAAAGTTCAGCTTATTACTGTTTGATATCTTTTGGCTTTAATTGATTGAGATTGTGTTCCTTGTGAGATTGATCATAATGGCACATTTGATGCCCTCATGCATGTTATATTTCAACAATTTGCTTGTAATGCTCACGGTTTCTTGGAGCTTGGTATCTTGTTTAAGAATTAGCATCATAGATGTGGCTTAAATTCATATTATAGCTAATTAATCTCCTATACAGTTTGTTTTTGACTTAAGTTGTGAAGTTTGATATCTTTGCAGTTTGCCACTTATGCTGAAAAGTTCCATTTGTATAGTTATTTTAACCTATCTCCCGTATAATTATGTTTTTCAATGTATTCTATAAATGTTCTAATGTTTCCCTTGTTTTGCTATGCTTATGGTCATTTTGGAAAGATACATATGTCAGAGAATAATTCTTCAAGGGAATCTAAACTAAATGAGATTGCGGCAGAACTGACACGTTGTCAAGCTACTTGTGCTAGGTTAACTCAGGTTAGTTTACATATAACTATCTGATATATTGATGGGTTGTTAATTCTTACATTTATAATGCTGGTTATTTACTTTTTTAAGGAACCTGAAATGCTTTCAATTTACATTTCTACTTTTATCCTTATTTATTTTTTTATTTTCTTAAAGAGCTACTGAATTGTGGTACATGACTTCTAAAGGCCTAAAAATTCCGAGTACAACTGTTATATGGTTTGTATATAAAATTACACACGAGTTCAATATTTGCCGAACTCGTTTGGGCAAATAACTGAAAATATAAAAAGGTAAAATTATTACGTAAAGAAACAACTTAGTTAGCAATTTTAGCTTCACATTGGTATAATATGATGAGTTATCTTGAAATTTATTGCTCACCATCTGCACGAAATTGAACTGATCACATTCAACCAAAAATTAAGGATGTAAATGAAATAAATCTCTCTAAATGTTATTATTGAAAACTACTTGTTGACTATAAAAACATTAAAAAAAAATAAAATTCGTAACTGTTCCCACTCCCTAAGCCCCATACCTGTTCCCACTTATGAATTTCAAATGCACTCAAATCTGGAGGATTGTACTGATATAATTCTGAAACATTAATTGTTGGTGAGATAAGATTGGAGGGAAGCTCTACAATGTACGCATTACTATTAATCTTCGTGAAAATTAGGAATGGTCCGAGTTTCCTTGGCTTAAGCTTAGAATAAGTGCCGACTGTAAATCTTTCTTTTATCAAATGCGCCATTACTAAATCACGCATACTAAATTTTGTTCCTCGCCGTTGTACCTAAGCTTATTGTTTTTATTTCACTGAAGATACCTGTAATTTTTGGCGCATGTTCGGCAACATGGACTCAAATTCTGAGGTGTAATCACAACAATTTAAATTCTAGGCTTTGGTATAATTGTGAAATCCATTGTTACATTAGGACATCTAGTATACATAATGGCAAAAGGAGATAAATTGGTAGATTTGTTAATAGTGGAATTGAAAGCAAATTCAGCCTGACATAATATATCATCCCACTGTATTGATTTTTCTCTTACTAAACAACAAAGCATGTTACCGAGTGATTGATTAATGATTTCCATTTGTCCATATGATCGTGGGTGGTATGCTGAATCTAAATGTAATCCTGTTTGAAATCACTTCCGCAATTCAGGCCAGAAATAACTCTGAATTTAATGTTTCGGTCAGCATGCAAACAAACTTGTTCTTTGAAAAATAGTCATGTAATGTTTATTGCATCCAAAGTCTTTTTACATGCAATGAAGTGCCTCTTCTTAGAGAATCTATCTATAGCAACCATAATTGAATATGAACCTCTTTTTGTTCTAGGCAATTCCAAAACAAAATCTAAGCTCAAATCTTCCCAAATAGAATTAGGAATAGAAAAAGGAATATATAAGCCAATGTTCTGAGAGGATCCTTTACTCGATTGGCTCACCAAACACCTTTCAACAAATCTATGCTCATCAATGGGCATTTTCGGCTAATAGAATTGAGAATGGACCGAGGCAAAGGTTTTGTCTCTTCCTAGTTGAGCCGATAGCCTACCTCCGTGCAGATCCTTGATTAGCATAGGATGGATAGATGTGTCAGGAATGAAAGTTGATTCTCTTTAAAAAAGAAATCACTTCTTTATGGAATATCCATCCGCAGGTTCGTTGTTACAATTCTTTTTCCGTATGTTGGAGAAGTCCTCTCTTGTCTCATATAGCTCTTTCAAAGATTCCAAACCAATAATTTTTGTTTGCAAGGCTATAAGGAGGCTGGAGCTTCTACTAGGTGCATCTGCAACCTTATTAGTTTGACCTGCTTTGTGTTTAAAAGCAAAGCTGAATCTCTGCATAAACTGGATCCACCTTATGTTCATACGATTCAAATTCTTCTGGCAGTTAAGGAAGCATAACATTTGGTAGTCACAATAAAGAACACACTCGTGGTGAAAAAGGTAATGTTCCCATTTAGCTCTAATGATATAAAGATTTTACTTATAAGTGGACTATTTTTGACGAGCCTAACTTAATTTTTTTACTAAAGTATTCAATTGGTTGACCCTCTTGCGAAAGGACAGCACCTATGCCATAAAAAGATGCATCAGCTTCAACATGAATAGGTTCATTGAAGTCTGGAATAGCTAAGATGGGAGCAGAACATAGCCCCTTTTTGTTAGCTTCAAAACTAGCTTGCTGTGTCTTTTCCCCAAGTGAATTTTTGGCTCTTAAAACAATCATTTATGGGAGCTATTAAGGTATTGAAATGTTGAACGAACCTTCTGTAGAAACTCGCTAGCCCATGAAAGCTTTGAACATACATAGTACACTAGGGAGTTGGCCCTGAACTAACTGTCTCAACTTCCGAACCTTCGGATGAACAAACATTGTGTCAGCTCCAACAACGTACCCAAAGAAATGAACTTTGTCTCGAGCGAATTTGCATTTTGTCAGGTTGATCAATAGCTGATGGGTATGCAGTACTTTGAATATTGCTTCTAGACGTGTAAGGTGAACCTGCAAAGGACAATATATAGGAATATCATCAAAATAAATGACACATAGCTTTCCAATAAATGATTGTAGAATTTGAGTCATTGGCCTCATAAACTTGCTTGGCATTGCAAAGCCAAAGGGCATAACACACTATTTAAACAACCCTTAATGAGTTTGAAGACAGTTAGAATTTATTTAAACTCGAATATGGATTTGATGGTATCCACCCCTCAGTTCTAACTTCAAGAATATGACAACCCCTTGCAATTTATCTAGCATGTCTTCCAAACAGGGATGTGTTAATCTATATTTTATAGTTATTTTGTTGATTGAACGGCTGCCCTGCACAATCTCCATTGATCAACCTTTTCTGGCACAACTAGAGCGAGAATGACACATTGACTCATTATATGCCTTACAAACTGTTTGGAGAGTAAATCTTCAAAAATGACATGCAATATTTCCCGTTATTTGGGGCTCATTCTATAAAATTGGGAGATTGGACAAGGACGAAACAGAAACTAGATCAATTTGATGTTGAATTGGAGGGAGCTGTTTCAGCAAGTCTTGTGGAGTGATATTAATAAATTGATGTAGTAAATGATGCACTTCCCCGCGATATCAACATTACCTTGATTTTGTTCGGTAACTAGGAAAGCTGCAATCAGCTGATCCTACTTGGAATCCGACAAAAAACTGATGACCTTGAACACATAAGAAGATTGCATTTTCAGAGATCTCTTTCAGCTTGTTGGAGGTAGGTAGTAGTCGGATTCTTATCCCCTTTTAATCAAACACATATATATTATCTCGACAATTATAACATGCACCCATATCAAATTTCCACAATCTTCTCAAAATTAGATGACTGACATCCATATTTTTTACATCACAATAAACATCACAAACATAATGATTTCCAATAGAGAAATTTACTTCACAAATTTCAGTCACCTGCATTTCTATTCCTTTCTTAATCCAACTAATATTGTGAGGGTGAGAATGATTTGATGTTTATAAATTGAGAGTTTTAACCACTTTGGAAATCACAGTTTCAATACACCCACTATCAATCAATAAATCACATACCTTATAGTTTATGGCGCGCATCGAATGTGAAAAATAGTGTCGTTGAGAACTTAACAATTAATTTGGTGCGATTAGGATTCTTTCGAACATGCAAACAAGAATATTTCCTTTGTCTCCAGGAATATCATCAATGAATTTAACAGCTAACACAGGTAGGTCACAGTGCCTTCAAGAAGATGCACCTGCTTCCTGAATCTGAAACTTTGCCTTCAAGAAGATGCACCTGCTTTCTCTAAGGACACTCATTTGAGCCCCAGTTGGAATCATCTGAACCATTTAGATGGCCTTGGCTTGTTGTAAATATTATCTAATTTTGGTAGAAGATTTAGGTTCATTATTAGCAGCCGAAGGCTGCTTGGAGGACTGAAGATTGCTCCGTCTTCCTGGAACAATAACATTTGTTTTTAACTAATCCTAAAGATTGATCTAGCAGTTGCCTCCATAGAACTGTTTATAACTCCGATTAAATTGTGTTTCAGCTTTATGTGCATAGTTAACTGCTTGGGAAAGGGACCATATGGTACTTTTCTCAAGCTTATCTTATGTGGTTCGCTTAATTCTTCAATGTATCGAGCCATAAGATGCTGCGGACTTTCTTGCAGCTTATCACAAACACTCAACCTATATAATTCTTCTCTGTAAATACAAGAACTGCTCGTAATTAGCAGGAAGTGGTTACACACCAATTATTTTATTTTCCTCTCGCTCCAGGTTTTTACAATACTTTTCCTCTCTCTACGTCTTGTTTGAGTGAGCTGAATCTATAACACTGTCACACCTCCTTTCAGCTTGCACATCACATAGTAACTTGTCTTTCAAGTTGATTATCCTTGTATTCAAAGAACGATTCAACTGAATGCTTATATTCCAATTAATCTTTGATATGGAGGTGATCATTTATCAATGGAAGGTCAACCTTGAGTTTGAAATCTTCTTGGGTTATGTCTGATTTATTCCGTCTCCGGTGAGGATTATCAAATAGCCTCAAGTCTTCGTCAAATTCAAAATCTTATTGAGGATTTCATTGCCTACTTAAATAATCCTCTTCGGACTCAGGATGCTTGGAGCACGCCGGGTAATAAGATCTTTGGGGCCTCCATAGATCTTGATTGTCCACAATAGTAGCTTCCTCCACAAAGTTTAATGCTGGGATTACTGCTGTGGTTGCTGGCACGTCTGCCATTGATCCTTGAACCTTGAAGCTCTCCCCTCATTTCGATCGTGTATTGTTGAAATTGCTTTGTTAGGATTTTCAGTTTTTGCTCCAAGGCATGCTGAGCTTCTCGCAAAATTTCACAACCACAATTGACACTGTTATTTGCGTTCCTATTGCTTCCTTCAGCCATGGCCTTGATACCAACTTTTGTGAAGTACTTGGACGGGAGGAACTAGAAAGAACAAAATAATCCATAAAT